ATCCATTTTCTTTGTGCCATGAAGGATAACAAGCTTGTTTAGTCGTCTATTGTGCAGCTGGGTGGAGATGATATTTGCGGGAAAAGGGGAGCTGTGTATGTGTATCAAGACCCTAAGGTTATGGTGGAGAATTTCCTAAACATCCAGTTATTATTCTGTTTTCCATCATTCACAGCCTGTCAAACAGTGTTGAAGAGAGTTCTGATACAGATTTGGATGAATTACCTAATTTCCCTAGTGTAAGTAATAGTTATCATGGCTACTCTGTGATATTGTTTCTATAGCCTTGAATTGGGAGGGGGAGTTTACAGCTTACTTCCTTTTGTAATCACACCAAAAATCTGGAAACCAAAAGATGATGAGATGGGTGTATTGGAGAATGGTGAGTATTTGCAGTGTTTAGCTGTACTAGATTTAGCATGGGTTGATCAAAGGCACCGCCAGTTCTGTATTTTTCAGTGTTTTTGTAAGGTGCCGTACTGTATGAGCCTTGCTGTGCCTTGTGCTGTATTGAACTTTTTAGCTACCTACCTCTTATAATAAATACAAAATGTAGTAGTGCTAGCACATGTGTAAAGGTGTAATATAATTGCTATTTATCTATTTTTCAGCTGATTCTTGCCGTATGGAGTTTGTGTGCTCACTGTCCCTGAAGGAGGGCGTATCACATGAAGTTGAAAGAGTGAATATTTACTCCAGTGTTATGACACTGTTCACAATCAATCGAGAAGCAAATTCGTTTTAGGTGAGAGAGAGCAGTTGATGTGGGTGGTGTCTCTCAAGATTTTTTTCCTGCGTTTTATGATGCTGTTTATGCCAAGTATGGCGATGGTTTGTCGCTCCTTTATCCTGTTCTCAACCCTCATGTGAAAACATCAGAACTGAAAACGCTTGGGCTAGTTATAATTATCATGTGGTTATTTCCTTTCTGCTGTCCTTCCTGTTCGCATAGCATTTCCTACCCTTGCTGCAATTTTGCTTGCAAAATCCCATGACTTACCTGATCATGTCATGGTTGATTCATTTGCTGGCATACTTAGTGCCCATGATTCAGCTGTTATTCGCAGAAAGATGGAGTTCAAGGAGCCTTTTTCAGAATCTCTTGAAACAAATTAACTAACAGTATTAAGTTGTTTTGATTGCCGGGAAGCACCGCATTTATCAATGATGTTCGTGCAGGAATACCCTTGGTTCATCAAAGCCATGAGCTGCCAAGATTTGTATAACTTGTACAGGTCTATGCAAGCTTCCACTGCTAAAGTGCTGAGTATGCTAAGCGAATTATCACCTTCTACACCAAAGGAGGAAGTTGTGCTGTCGTACTTACGCCAGTACATAGGAAACATGCGGCAGGAAGAGTTACAAATTTTCTTACGGTTTGTGACAGGATCTTCTGTTTGTACAGCGAACCCACTTTACTTTCAACAATCTGGAGGGATTGGCTTGTAGACCTGTGGCCCATACATGTGGGTACACACTTGAACTATCTACTTCATACGCTTCATATTCAGATTTTGCTCAAGAGTTTTTCTTCCGTTCTCAATACTTGCCAGCAGGATAATCTGTGGAACATGGACGCTGTGTAGTGCTTGTTATGTCACTGAGAAGTATTATACGCTTTGCATGCATTTATATGGGGTCGTAATTGTATTATGATTGTGTATTGTATATGCTGCTCAAAATGTTTAAGTGTTTAACTTGTAAGCCTCGCGGTAGCTACATACACATGCAATAACAGAATTTACATAAAACTGTGATGATTGACAACAGTACATTTTATTGCGAAAGTATAGAGTGCTTGTTCATAGAGTTCAATTCCATGATTGCTGCTCTCGGTTAGTGGGTGCACACTTGATCGTAGCTGAGAAAGCACCTCATCTGAAAAATGCAAGTTATTCTCTGGCACCCTCTGGGAACAGTTCCCACATTATCGTCTGGGGGAATAGGCCCATCAGTGTCAACACCATAATATGAGTCATTCACATTGTCCAGTGCTACCAAACCCGAATGTTGTAAGCGAAGGACCCCTTGTGTGAACAGTTGTTGAGGAGAGAGATGTTGTGCAGTGCGAATGCCGTGACTATTTCAGCCCTGGACAAAGCAGTCAATGGCACGATTTATTCTGGGCAGGTACACCTACTCCAGCGCATATAGACACACTGTGTTGGTATGCTCCAGCATACCCTGACTTTCAAGAAAGTAGAAGAGACGGTAGTAGAGCTTTGTCACACAGGCATGATAATCTCTCCATAACCTTTCGATTCGTTGGTTATGGGTAGAACTTCCAACTAGCATGCTATTACGGTCTGGACCACGATTATGGAGCATGTATCGAGCAACATGCATATTCTCCCCCCCCATAATCAGACCTCACCCTAGATGGTACACCAAATCGCTGAATGCCTTCCAAAAATGCGTTTAGAACTGTCGAGGAACGGTTGTTGGTGCTGCATCGCATGAACACAATCATTCTACTGTACCCATCAATTCCTGCATGTGTGATGAACCGCCAACGAACACACTTGTGATGTCCATCTGCAAAGGAACAAAATAAACAGTGTTACATGCAGAAATACTGTAGTGAGTAGCTACTTTATTGGTATGGCCAGCTTTTTGGTTATAACCATATCATATTTACCTATGTGCCACAAAGAATTAGGGCCAGGGACTGAGTATGGACGACGAACATGCAGATTGCGATTGAAAGGATCAGTGTCATTTATGACCTGGCGAAGACGTGATCGTGTCACATAGTAGCCCAATGCACGCAACCGTCCCATAACCATAACCTCTCCCAAATGAGGCAGCTCCTGGCGTGTCTGTTCAACAAGACGTCTCAGCTCAGAGTCATCAGGTACGATTCTCGGGTCTTCAACCATGTCATATTCGACGCGGCGTCGATAGACAGTCATTCGTGACACTCCGAGAAGGGCTGCAATTTCAACCCAGGTAAAAGAAAGTGAGTGGAGATATTCCAGTTGTTCCTGTAGGATCAAAAAGCTGGGTCTACCCTGTTGATGAGGTTGGTAGAAAGGGGGCACGATATGAAGTGGCAGAATAACTTTCGACGGCAGTGCAATATTCAAGCCACTGAATTCGAAGTGAGTGGAGTAGTCGATTGAGCACCAAAAACCTATGCCGATATTCTTCAACTATAGCACTCTCTTCACCCTCGACAACTGATTCACCAGCATCGAGAACTGCAACCAGGTGCCTACAAACGCCTTCGCACATTTCGAGACGTTCTATGGCATACTCCGCATAAGGGATGCTTGAGATACCAGCTTGTTGCCCCAGTTCTCCTAAAAACCGGGTGAGATCGGAGAAGTATTCGTCCCATCCCCAGGTCACAGGGTCTCCTTCGTCGTCCATCTCCAATAAGTGCTCATTTTTCGCGCATACGCAATTAAAAATTGGCTAACTAGCTGGGGGGCGGGGTCCTGAACGATCTCATGTCGACCCCAGAGTGGCCGGGTCGACCTGAGAGTTAGACAAACGTTCAGGAGTTATTTTACTCTCAGGGCGTCATGAGAGCTCTCAGGTCGACCCCACAAAAATCGTGCCGACCCAGGAGTCGGTGCGATTTTTGATACTGATGGCGTGCCATACAGTCGACGGCTTGCCATAAGTAATAATACATACATGCGCGCGTACATTTTCGTGGGAAGGACTAGCGCGCGTATGGAACGCCATCAGTAAAAAAAATCTGGAGTCGACCTCTAAACTCTCAGGCGACCCCAGATCTCTCAGGCCTACCTCGCTTTCTCAGGTGGACCTGAGAAGTTTTCCGAAGCCAATAATCAAATGATTGAACGGGGCTACCCGACCGCATGACCTTTGAACTATTTTCCACGTGGCCTCTAACTACGACAACGAAGTGTGTTCTGGTGTGCTTCGGGGAGAGGAAGAGGCCTGTAACCCTCGCAAACGACGCAACCGTAAATGATTTAAAGTTAGCTATCGTCAATGAATATCAGGACGTTTTGCCGCGGAGTAGCTCGTCGATTGACCAGAGCGTCGCTGATAGGCTTGTCCTGCAAATAAAATCCGAAGATTGGGATGGAGTGTTTGTCGATTTAAAGGATGAAGCTGATGTACCAGACAGGTCTGTCTTGCGAGTTGTTGAAGAGAGCCAGAAGGTAACTTTAGTAGTGTGAGCTAAAGCAACTGGATTTGAATGTTATTTTTGTAGGATAATGTTACTGATGCAGCCCCAGTGTGCTCTGGTTTCACAAAGCGGACAGAAAAGGAAAAGAATGTTCTGGCCAAGCTGTTTAGCTAGAGTTCTTCGATTTCACGCAAGCGTCCTATGGCGTTTGATCCGATGGCTGAATCAAGCAATTCCGTGCCATACGGTCGACGGCTTGCCATAATAATACATACATGCGCGCGTACATTATCGTGGGAAGGACTAGCACGCGCCGCCATGTCTTTTGATGTCGATCGTAACCATGATGACCGCGTGCGTATGGCAAAGCTTATTTTACAACTTGAGTGAAGTTTGGAAGGGGGAGTTTGTCGACATTAGAGAAACCGATACTGTCACCAATGAAGCTATTGTGTGTGCAATCATCAAGGAAGAACCACGTAAGGTTAAGGTGAGGATATAGCTACTGAAACGTAGGTAGGCTGTATACCTGTTGATAGGATGCCTGTTTTAAAAGTGCAATGTCTCTGTCGACTAAGCTGAGAAGGCCCAGCTCTGAAGTTGCTAGAGAGCTTGGGCAACTCTTTCCGTCCGGTGCTCCTGGTCCATCTACTTCTAAACGTGGAACTGATTTCGATCCACGCCAGGATTTTCCTGGTTTGCCCGACAGGAAGCTAAAGAAGAAAGCATTTACATCCAGTGGGCGTTGTGTAAATATCATGGTTTGCCGCCTTTCTAAGTATACGCCGTTTATTCCGAAGGGAAAAGTACGGAGCAACCTGAAGGGAAATGGACGCCTGCAAACCGTTCGACTGACACGATTGATGAATGCTAGTGATGTTAAGTCTTCAATCAGCCAGGCATTTTCGCACATCCGTTCCGACTGGAGCTATTTGGAAACAGGGCAGGATAACAGGTTGGAAGAGCTACAGCAGCAGTTTCCAGATGGAAATTTTTATATGTTCTCTGAGAGGCTGTCTATACATTGTTGACAAACCGGTATGTAAGAGAGAGGATCTAAAGAAGGGAAACTAAATGTTGCTTGTTTCAGGATACCCTACAGGCTGAGAATGTCGGAGAATCGAGTAAGCAGGTGTCTAGTGATGTAAGTTACACACTGTTTGTAGTCCATGCTCTAGTAATTGTCGTTTCTAGGGGTCAAGTGGAGATGAACTTCCAAATATCAGGGTGTCATATGCTGTAAGTGATTATATTCCTTTCCCTACAAGATTCAGCTATTTTTCATCAAGTACGTAGTACTTAGTGCGTCACAGGAGGGTACTTCGATTTGTTACTGGAAGTTTTGTAATCAGTGTTTCCGCAATAGCAATATCTTTCAACAACTTGGGTGGCCTTGCCCGCCGACCCATAGCCCACACATGCACTGGTACACTGGAGCTATCAACAACGTACAACACATTCATCGAATTTGAAAGCGAGTTTCGTGCTGTGTTGGCTGACCCATACTTTTCTTGGAGAATGGATGCCATTTGACTCAACTGTGTGTCCCGCAACATCTGATTTGTCACTTATATTATGTATATACGTAGTTTATAATTATCATTCTAGAGGCGCTGCACGCAGTCCGCGTTCCGTGTTGAATACATGGAAGTGTTCATAGTGGTGCGCGTTATTTCACAAAAAATGGCTGTGGCAGCCGAGAGTGTTTGGTCACGATTTTTTACGGATTTGACTTCTTTCCTCGCAGCATGTGAGCGACAGTATGGTGTATCGAACGAGAGTTATACGGAGTATGTGATTGACCACCTTTCTCTAAGCTGCCAAAGCGTTTTGACCCTTAGTGAGAGACTTGCTAGTTCGGGTCCCTTTGCTGGAGGAAACTTTGACGGAGCTGTTAGAGAAGCTGCGACGTACACTACAGCTATGGCGCGATTATTCTGATGCTGGTACCCTTAGTTTCAACTCAACGCGGTATGAGCTACCTACTGAAGGACGACCAGGTCCTTCTCGTGGCCGCCCACGATTTAATATCAGCAGAGGGCAACTACAGTATTTGCATTCCCTCTCGTTCCCTTGGAAAGGAATTGCTGATATCCTGATGGTCAGCAGGATGACATTGTACCGCAGATGGGTTGAATTTGGAATGCTGGATGAGTCAAGCTCTGTTATTAGTGAAGAGGACCTGCTTTCAGTTGTTCGTCGAATATCCAGAGAATACCCACAAGTTGGACAAAGTTTCATATTGGGGCGGCTACGATCTCTTGGATACCGAGTAACAAGGGAACGTGTTCGTCAAGCAGTTCGTTCGAGTGACCCTTTGAGCACAGCACTCTGTTGGCGTGGTAACCCCGCCTATCGCCGGCCGTACAGTGTACCTGGCCCAAATTCCCTGTGGCACATTGGTATTACATTCATAACCGGATTTAGTGTAATGTTTTGTAGATGGGCATCACAAGCTCATACGGTGGCGACTTGTCACCCATGGTGGTATCGACGGTTACAGTAGAATGATAGTATACCTCTCTTGTTCCACAAACAACTGTGCAAGCACTGTTCTATGCTTATTTATTGCCGCCACACAAAGGTTTGGACTACCTTCAAGGGTGCGATCTGATATGGGAGGAGAGAATATGATGGTTGCACAATACATGGTACAACATCGAGGTAGCAACAGGAAAAGCATGATCACTGGTAGCTCCACCCACAACCAGAGGATTGAAAGATTGTGGTGTGATGTCCACAGAAGTGTCACGTCACTCTTTTATCGGCTTTTTTATTTTCTTGAACATCAAGGCTTATTAGATCCGTTAGACAAGTGTGACATTTTTGAATTAGAACGTCAGGCCTTTTCGCAGAAGGAGCACTACGTCTTCACTCCTCTCATCTTGTAGCACTTGACTTCTTTGACAATGTAAGCTCTACCTTTGCTACGAGTGATGATGATCCTATGCCTCCAATTGAAAGTGATTCTGTTATCGTTCCCGAAACACATTTTCCCCTTCAACCTGCACTTTTTGAACAATTGAAAAGAACAATTGACCCTCTCCAATAAAGTGAAAATTATGGAATTGACATATTCATTTCAGTAAAACAGTACATTCAGCATCTTCCTTCATTTTACTTTTTGTATGGTAGTTATACATGCATAATAATCTTGTTATGAATCCTGCATAAAGATAACAAGAAGATATGATAACGCGCAAGCAGTATACGATAAAAAAATAACATTGCACGCCAGATTACTGTTGCACAGACGTGTATAATACCTAGCATTCCACTAGTGTTAACGATAAGACGTCGACGTCTACTGGGACGTTGTCGTTTGTGCCCACACGTCGACGTCAGTGGCAAGACGTCGACGTCAGCGGGACGTCGTCATCAGTACTTCAGACGTCGACGTTACCCAGACGTCAACATCAGTGGGACGTCATCGTCAGTACTTCATACGTCGACGTTGCCCAGACGTCGTCGTTATTGCGCAGACGTCGACGTCAGAACGTGAGGTCGACGTCTGTATACGTCGAATTTTGTTACAAACGGCTTACCATACGCGCGCCGGATCGGATTGTCCGCGCACGAGAGAGAAGACAGATGAGTGTGAGATCAATGAAGAAGGTGTATATAAATGTTTTGAGTGCTGGAACTATCATGTCGGACATCCGTGCGCAAAATTAGGGACTCTAGGATGACACGATGGTCAGGGGTTTTGTCCTGGATGAGGTCCGGCTCCGCCTAACGAAACCGAGCGCTAGCCCTAGATTAGGTCCGACAGGCAAGCGTTCTGGACGTCAGGTCCGATCATGAGCCTATAGATAGTTGCCCTAGCCCTAGACGAAGTCCGACGGGCGATCGTGCTAGACGAGGTTCGAGGCGTGAGCTAGTCTGATTGGAAAAAGACCTTTGTGACTAGGAGGATCCATAACTTCAAGTTAACTCTAATACACTAGTCAAAAACCTTCTTGGACATCAAAATTGAACGTTCTCCGGTTGGCTCTTTATCTACTTCCGTGTTCAGGAAATCAACACACACTGACCAGTACCTCAATTTTGCCTCCCACCACCCTTATCCACAAGAGGGCTGTTGTCAGTACCCTTACCTCTAGAGCAGCAACTCATTCCTCCTCTGATCACTACAAAAACCCAGGAACTACATCACGTTCATTCTGCCTTCACAAGAATGGATACCCGAAAGGGTTTATTTCATCTTCTCAACGGCCACCGACTCGCACTGCTGAGCCCACCCCTGAATGGAGAGCTGTTTCTGTGTTGCCATATGTCAAGGGTGTATCGGAATCAATAAGACGCATCCTGGCTCCCTTACGTGTGAGAGTGTGTTTTCGACCGTGCCATACCCTGAGGTCCTTACTCTCGAAACCCAAGGACCAGATGCCAGCTCTGCAGACATCAGGAGTGGTGTACAAAATCCCCTGTGCGCACTGTCCATGTGTTTACATTGGTCAAACTGGTCATAGACTCTGTCAATGCGTAACAGAACATAAGAGAGCTGTAAAACAAGCAGATTTCAATTCTTCGGCTCTGTCTGAACATGTCTGGTCGGCCGGTCACCCTGTTGACTGGGAAAATGTGTCTGTCCTGTCTAACTGCCCTGACTATCACTACAGACTAGTATGTGAGTCATTCCTGATTAGATCTACTGCACATACTTTGAACAGGGACACAGGATCTTTGCCTCCGGAGTATGATAACCTTGTTTAGTTGTCTGGGTCGTTGCGTTCGCCTTCACCACTTATGTATATCTCCCTGTTCACACATTCCAAGGTTGCTATACATTTGCCTTTATATTATACTGCTGAATTTTTCTGGTTTGTACTGTTCACTGATGATGGTGACTGCATAGTCACCGAAACGTTTGAATATATTTTTTCAAAGTTTTTTGACTAGTGTATTAGAGTTAACTTGAAGTTATAGTCTGATTGGCTAGATACTAGGGATAGCGTAAGGTATATACAGCTATTGGCTTATGGCAACAACTGTCCTTGTCTCTCCTGACCCTCCATTGTAGTTATTGGCTATAGCTGGCCTACACCTGGTGATATTACCCCCTATGGATTCTCTCTCCTTGCTAGAATGGCTCAGGGACCAGTTACGAGATCCAAATCTAAAAGCATGAAGAAACTCCCTCAACTAATCCCCATTCGGCGGGGATTCACGGAATGGGGGGAAGTTCAAACGAAGCGAAGGAAATGTTTCTGAACATGGTAGGGTTCACAGAGGCATCGATTGAAGTTCAGAATCATGTGTTTAGTGATGAGATGGCGGAAATTATTTCGACCGCTGAATTAATATTGGACCACAACGATGTAGACCCATACTTCACTCCACAACAGTAGGCGCCCCGTTATAATGATGTTGAGTTCTCCTTTACCAATTTTGTAAAGCTGCAAAGAAAGAGGAAATCCCCTCAAGTGAATTGGTAATTGCTTCTGAAAAGCAAAAAGAAGTTATGTGCGGATGTTGCCCATAAATCAATTTTTGAATGGGTATATAGACTGATTGACATTCCCGAGCCTGTCACTGATGATTGGGACAGCAAATTGGCAGCAACACTATTGCCACTGATTTTCAGCCAGGCAGATTAATTCCATTTCGATGTGGAAGTGTAAGGCAAGGTTCTCCTCATGCAGTACATCATAGCCTACAAACGCCAAGTGGAGAGTGTGGCCAGTTCACTGGGTGGCCAGATTTCTCTGTTACCAGGAGGTTCACACCCACTGCTGAACGACGAATTCTATCGTGTTACACTAGATCTTCAGGGCTTCATGGAATTGGCGAGATCCAATCTCCTCCAGGCAACACACTGCACAGAGACGATTTCTCAGGCTGGTGTGTATGGAGTCGGACAGCTCACCGATACAATGAAGAAGATGGTAGTAGTCATTCTGTTCAAGGACAAGTCTGCGCAGGTGGCTATCGCTAGCCTTGGAGATGCAAGTGGTGTCCCAATTGAGCAATCCGTTGGTGAAGTCTCATACAAGTTTGTATCACGTATTGACTCAATGTCCCTCAAGTGCAGAGGAGCTGCAGGAATTCGCCAGGATCTTAGTGTCAGCACTCAAGTGGACTCTCGAGTAAAACACTGTGCTGCATGATCCCCAATATCATTTCATTGGATTATGTTTAACCCTCGATGCGCATGAGCAGCCAAAGGTTAGCACACATGGAGGTGAAACCTGGCACGCATGCCTAATACATTGTTTCCATGACGACCACAACAACAAAATAGCCTCAGGCACTTTTGTTTACTTCTTCACTCCTCAAACTTGCTAACTGTAGCACACATGGAAGTGAAACTTCGCATGTGTATTACATCGTTTCCATGATGACCTCTGACATAATGAAAAGCACTAAAGTGCAAACCCTCGGCGAACTGCGCGTCTGCGGTATCGCTAATGGATGGGCTGGGCCTATTAGTATGCGTTTACCCGCGGTCTCCCGCCATATAGTAGCTCGCGGAGAGTCTGACACGGGTTAGCTACGGTAGTAGATAGCAAACGCCCTTCGCTGTGGCTTCTTGTGCCTCCAAGGTAAACAGAGCAAGCGGATCAGGTCGATGTTAGCCAGCATACCGCGTTCGTCCAATATACGCATGCGCACAGCTTATTGATGGGTTGGGCCACGCAACGCGGTCAGCGATCGTACCAGTTTGTCGCTATCGAACGCAGTCGTTTCAGGAAAATCGCCACATTAATATCAATCTCCGCGTCGTTCACAACCCGTTGGTGCCACTCATTGGCCGCCTCGTAGCCTGTAGTGCTAAAACTCGCGCGAGACAGACAGACAGACAGACGGATAGAACGACTACTGTAACCCTCGCTGCGCATGCGCGCCGAGGGTTAATTATTGTGGGTCTCCCATACTGTACATATACCCTTTGTACTGTGGGCTCACATATTTTGGGTCTCCCATACTGTACATGTATAGGTTTGATGATGGCAAGTATTCGCGCTGGGCGCTCATAGAGCATACTTGCCGTCATCAAACCTACTTGGTATATGTTTTTCCAGCACAATGCCTGAATTCCCTATAAGGAAAGCAAAGTGGGTGTTGATAAGGAAGTAGCTCAGCCAGCCTTTTGGTGGTAGTGCAGCTAAATGAGTGCTACTACTGGCCAATAAATGCGCTGTTGTTGGGGTAACATATACCAAATACCCTTGGTACTGTGGGCTCACATATTTTGGGTCTCCCATACCGTACCAGCCCATCAATTAGCGGTACCGCGTATGCCCAGTTCGCCGACTTTACGATCTACGTCCACAACCATAGATCAAGTTGTACCGCAAGCTGAACATTTAGAGCTTGCAGTCGAAGTTGCAGAATACTATGATTTCTTTGAAGATGATTTACCAGTCCTGCATTGGCTGGACGTTTATTACTGGATGGAACTTGAACCACCAGCAGTAAGTTGGAACCAATCCAGCAGAGTGGCTGTGAATGGATATCCTTCAACATTCGCATCTAGATATTGCATTTAGAAATGTTGAAAATAGCATTCATATCATCTGAAAACTTAGTAGCGAGTCGGTCTGTCTGTGTGTGTGTGTGTGCGTGTGTCCGTCCGTCCGTCCGTCCGTCTGTCCTCCGTTTTTCTCGGTAACCGCGGCAACTCTGAGCGTGAAACGTGGACATATTTTCAACTAGGAGGAATGCATGGTAAAATAAGATTCTGGAGCGGAGAAGCCCGGGGGAAGCTGGTGAAACGGACGGCTGCCGAGGTGGGTGTGCGTCAAATAGAGATCGCGAACCATCGTTGTAGGCTTTGCGTGTGTGGAGAAGATTTGCTGGTCTGGCTGTATTGACGGTACAGTTGAGTAGGATCGAGATTGCCGGTGAAGTGAGAGCAGCACACGCCCCAGTGAATCCGCTCAGTGAAGGAGCCACGAGGTAGCGTAGCTATAGAATCTTGTTTTTTGACTTTTTCAGATGTTTCTCTCTCTGCTGCATCACCCCATTTGACATTATAGTCCTTGACATAGAGTAATATGATTGTACATTAAGGACCCACAGCCATTCTTCACTAATCATGCAACATTATTCTACCAAACTTTGTGTTAAACTCTCTTATTAAGTGTACTTTATGATTGCAGAGTTTATTGCTAGTTGATTTACATTATGCGCAGCAGGACTGCTCAATTAGGGAAAGCGTTTGTTTTTCAAAGCAAGGCTATGTAGATGGGAGTCGCTTGAGCAAGGTAAAATTTTAGGCATATTATGTGTTTCTTTCCCTGCTGGTAGACGCCTCGTTGCTCTCCTACCCAGAACTTTCTAGAGGGGCCTTTTACGCTTTGCTTTCAATGCGTTTAGCCCTCGCTGAGCATGAGTTTGGGTGCCAGGACCCTCTGACTGTAGGTGACCACCAGGAGGGATATGAGGTCGCCCATTCCGTCGCCTGTGTGGGCCGACGTTGGGACGAGGGGAACGTAGTCAGTGAAGTCCACTTTCTCCCAGAACAGTGCACGTTCAGATATCCACCTAATCGTAGTCTGAATTTTCCGCCACATCTGATGACGACGATAGGAATTGCATTTTTGTAATTATGAAGATATCATCATTATAATAGTAAAGGAACTTCCTATGGTATCTATTTCAATCAGATCCAACTTTTGATATAGTTTAAATCGGTACTTCATTTATTCAAAAAGTCACTTTCTTCTTCTTCTTCTTGTTGTTGTTGTTGTTGTTGTTGTTGTTGTTGTTCAATTTAGACAAGCGTATCTCAAAAACCGGGTAAGATATGGATATGAAACTTTGTACAGACATTGGAATCCGTGACATGTCGTGCAAGAGCATTTAAATTTTTTCGTAAACAACAACAAATACCCCCAGGCAATACATTATGATAGAGACAAATAAAGTGTGCTAACTGGGTACCACAAAGATGGCGACTGGGAGGCATGCCCATTCACGCACCCATGCGACGATAAAAACAACGGGAAAAGAATGTTTGATCGTTCTGTGGATTACTTTCTAGCAGTTAGGAACTTGCCCCTACTGCTTACCGCTACACAGCGATCAAGAGCAGCTTACATATACCTGTGGTACTGTGGGCTCACATATTGTGGGTCTCACATACTGTACATATACCCTTGGTACTGTGGGCTCACATATTGTGGGTCTAACATACTGTACATATACCCTTGGTAAGCGACACCAACGGGTTCAGCGCTACACTGCCTTCATTTTAAAAACGGTGATTATCGTAAAAGTACTGTGTTCTAAAGTTATGGCGTGAACACCAAGTCAACAAGCCAATATGCAAATTAGCACAGGCTTACCTCGACCGGGTCCACTCGCTCTGTGTATCTTGAAGGCACAAGAAGTCACAACAAAGGGTGTGTATCGACAGTAGCTAGCCCGTGTCTGACTCTCCGCGAGCTACTAGCGGGAGACCACGACTAAACGCATACTATACTATTAGCCCAGCCCATTAATTAGTGGTACCGCGCATGTGCAGTTCGCCGAGGGTTTGCACTTTAGTGCTTTTCTGTAAATATTAAGTGAATACGTTCTGGAGGTTTTGCAGGATCTGCAGCCCTTGATATACGGGGAGGATGGTGTATACCAAGCTGCTGCACATTACTACTTGTGAGCTACAAAATTTGTGGGTGCCACATCTATTCGATGAGTCAACCCCTCCCTAGCTTTTCAATGCTACCACCCCCACTGCCACAGCCAGCGCACCCACAGCAGCTTCAGCCCTCACACTCAACCATTAAGCCTCAGTACCAGCCCTCCCCCTCTACCAACCACACTCCGATCTCCACCAACCAGTCGCAATTCCAGCCTCCGATCTCCACTCAGCCACTGCTTCCCTCGACCCCACCATGGGCAGTGATGATGCCGCCACCAACATTATCTCCCAGGCGGCTAATAAGCGAAATAATGAGCCAGTACTCAAAAGAAAAAGATGCCGGGCGAGTGGCTGTACACCTTGCCCAGTTTTATTTCTTTGGAGAGAGTGTAATTGCGAAGACAACAGCTGCAAGGCTTGATCCGATCCAAATGGAGGAGATAAAGCATTTGATAATTTCTAAATTTGCTGGAAACAGGTCAATGGCCGACAAAGAAGACTTGTGGCGTAGATGCAGAGTTGCCATTGGGCAAAAATGTAAACTGTTGCGGGCAAAGAAGGGGAGCTAAGATATACGCTACATATCACCTCTCACATGTGGACCACCATTATAATGTACATGCTAAGTGAGAGTTTACTGTGCCATAGCACAGTGGTTGGAGGTTTGCCTTGTGTTGTGTTGTGTTGTGTTGTAGATTCGAATCCCTACCAGCTGAGTTGCCTTGGTAGCTCAGTTGGTAGAGCGCCTGCCTAGACTGCAGAGTGTCGTGGGTTCGAATCCCACCTAGGGCGGCTCTTTATTTTCCTTGGAAAAAAAGAGCTGTCCTAGGTGTTGTTGATGTAATTGTTGTGCCTTTGCCTTTATACCTCATAGTTTTCACATGCATATACTGGGCTTGGAGTTGGGCGTCATTGGTAGTTTAATTACCCCGGTCTGCTCCTACATGCTAAGTGAGAGTTTACTGTGCCATAGCACAGTGGTTGGAGGTTTGCCTTGTGTTGTGTTGTAGATTCGAACCCCTACCAGCTGAGTTGCCCTGGTAGCTCAGTTGGTAGAGCGCTCGCCTAGACTGCAGAGTGTCGTGGGTTCGAATCCCACCTAGGGCAGCTCTTTATTTTTCCTTGGGAAAAAAAAAGAGCTGTCCTAGGTGTAGTTGATTTTTGTTGTGCCTTTGCCTTTCTACCTCATAGTTTTCACATACGTAGTGCACCAATCACATCATTTACTTCTGTAGGATTCAATTAACTATTCAAAAATGGGAAAGAAAACAATGCAAGTGCTATAATTGCCTAGCGCATTAGCGCGAGGCAACTACTCCGGGTTGTATTCTCGCGATATGCGTACGTACATACGTCGTCAATTAGTCACGCTTAAGAATGTCAATTAGTCACCAAAAGGAAGTGTAACTTCCGTCATTCGTAGGAAGTCTAGCTTCCGCCGTGTGCACAGATTCGTAGGAAGTGTGGCGTCGCACGCAGTCAGTATATAGAGCGCGTGCACGAGCGGCCTCTCAATCGGACTGTCTACGCATTGGCTGACAGGCGCGAGGAAAAGTATGCGCGTGCACATTCCTAGTAAAATTTGAAATGTGACAACGAAACTCAAGGCTACATATGTGTAAGTCAGTAGCCTGTTGCAGCTCCTTGTACCGTAATAACTTTTGGCACTACTTTTCGTAGGTGATTTATGTACTTGTGACATCAACAGTGTCCCAGAATTGTTTAATTCCTAAAACCAATTCAGCTTTTGTGGTTGGCCTTACTTCACGTCTGATGAATTCTTTGAGCTCATGCCAAAGATTCTCTATACACTGCTAAAAAATATGGTGTTATCTAACACCCCATTTTCTGTACCAAAACTGGCAGGGTGTATTGGAGCACCTAAGGGGTGTTCATTACGCTTAAGTAGGTGTTTACTAACACTCTTGGGGTGTAGAGTAAACCATGGCACATTCTAGTGCTCACCACAACACCTAAGGGTGTAATCCTACACTGACCCAGCACCTATATCACAACTTCCTTTCTATGCCTTGTGCATTGTTGTTTAATAATAATTATTGTTCATAGGACGCAATGTCAGAAAATTTCTTCATCCCATATCACATTCTCTTCACTGTTTTATTATTGTTATTGTTTCACACACCGGTAGGTGCAAGAAAGTAATTAAGAAGAATTGATGATGGAGATAAAATTTGATCCTCATAAGGAGAGTGAATACCATGAAGATGTCTTTAAAAAAATATTGTGCTGGAGACATTGTGCATCATAGTCAATGTAAATGAGAATGACAGTATACAGACGAGTCACACCCACTGCGCATGCGCGTCGAAGGTGTCTGCGCGTGCAGCGCAGCATGACCTTTACCATCCGGCACGCCCACGTACACCGGTGAGATCATGTTCGCGCTCATTTTCAAATGCAAGTAGAAGTAGACTATCTCTATGGCTGTGTTTTTGGCGACTCAAGCTACAGTATTTAAAGGCTTTCTGGAGCCCAAGACCACCATCAGACGAATACCATGGCTACGAACGCCGCGATAGAAGATTTCGATGTAGCGCGCGTCACCCCGTCGAAGAAAACGTAAGGACTGATCATAGCTACGTAGCTGCTAAGACGGCACTGAATTGTTTTAGACTCCAGCTACTCCGAGCCCAGTATCACAGCCAGCAGCAGCAGCACCAGCGATGGGTACTACAGCCTGGGTTAGTGCTTGGTGTTCCTGACGTTTTCTCCAGACGGACGCGTGAGGGAATTGAGAAAGGAGAGAGTAGGAGCGGCCAGCATGTATTTAGATAACTTTGTTACTTCCAGTACCAGTATGGCAGTCGAGGGGAGGGAAGATCAGAACAGTAGGGCTGAAAGTGAGTCATGCAATCGGTATTTTCAATGCTTTCAGATGTTGGTATTTCTTCATAATAATTATGAAGAGGAATTTAAAAGGCTATATAGGAGTTGAAATTGCTGAAGAAATTGGCAGGATTTATTGATATCTGCCAAGATTGGTATAATTATATCTTTGCAGAGTTGGAGTCACAAACCAATAGGGATGCCCTTTCAAAGCAGCAGGAAGAAGTCAATTCATTTCCTCCTGATGCATAATGATGAGCATACATGGTACTGTACACTTCCTTCTCATATTTCAAGTTGGTCAAGTGAGTGTGAAAATATAATTTATATGCCAGTATGTATAGTTGTATTGGAGGTGCATGCATACATCTTTCTTCCCACTTCACAGGATTGCAGCTGCTGCAAATAATCCATTCTTTGGAGCTTACTGAGCTGAGCTTTTGCTTGCTCCTCGAGCAAAAATATCACTTGTGCATCATGCATCGGTTTTCTGTAAGTCAACATTATATATAATATCATGTACATAACTATGGACGAACTGTTGTTATAGAATGAGCCTGACCTTGATGAGGCTGTGAAGAAAATCACTGAAAACCATGGTTACATCTCTGTGGTTACTTCTGACAAAAGGACTCTAGCATCATTAGATTTTATCTTATGCTCTTTACTGTATCATTGCTCTTTGTATCTCATGCTCTTTTACTGTGAAATATTTTTGTCACTTCAACAGTACTACTGCAACAACGAACAGCGCTCTAGAGCACCAACCGCGTGTTGTCGAACACCCTATGAAATGTTTATGAACACCCCAAAGGGTGTATTGTAGCATCAATAGAAAGGCTAAATAGCACTCTTATGGGTGTACATCACCCCAGAAAGGGTGTTCCTGTACACTCTTATGGGTGTACATCACCCCAGAAAGGGTGTTCCTGTACACTCTTATGGGTGTACATTACCCCAGAAAGGGTGTTCCTGTACAAAATTTCCCAACTGTGGGATTAATATGCATATGCAGGAACTGGTTGTGCATGATGTTTACACAACTTTTTTGTACCATACTGATACCAAACTGAAATCTGCCTACGTATTTATACACGTATGTATGTATTTATATGTATATACGTACAACCTATAGTGATAAAATGCATTTGTGTCTATATCAAAGAGCCATAGCGTACTTTATGTCGGTGAAAAGAACAAATTACGTACTTCAATCATGTACATACATACAATGTACAGCTACACGTCCTACAGTGATAAAATGCACTTATGTAGCAACACTACAGCATACCTACGTACTACAGCAAGGATTGTACGTAATGTTACTACAGTGGTTAAACCAACCAGCGCCACATGTGTACCGGTCGTAAAAGGCCAAAACTTCATGCAAGCACTGAGTACAATACAATAGCAACACCTTTAAGTTTTGGAGTTGTAACACAACTACGGTGCATTTTTTTACTGGTACCGTAAGACAAACACAAAAGTCATACATACAGAAGTATATCAATAAACTACATACAGTGACCCTCGTGCATGTACACTGAAAGGGTTCAATCTACCTAAATATGTACACGTAAAATTTCCCAACTGTGGGATTAATATGCATATGCAGGAACTGGTTGTGCATGATGTTTACACAACTTTTTTGTACCATACTGATACCAAGTTGTGCAAAAGTTACAGTATGAGCACAGATATTTCTTGTAAAAGAAAATTTATGTTAGGACGCAAACACGTAGAATTTTACTTCTTGCCTGAGGCTATTTTAGTACAGTTGCATGAACATAAGTAATTTCATACAGCAAATAATTATGTATTATAATATGTAATTTGGTGGTCCTTTTGTAATTTACATGTTTAATGCAGAATGGTGATTAATGTGGTTAGCAACTTGTTACGTATGTTTACATGTTAATCCTATTGTGGAGCTTTATATGTGTATCATTGTATGTTTATAATTGACGCATTGGACTTTGTGAATGGGAGTTTAATAGGATGTTAAATGATGTTAACACGTAAACAGTAGATGGCGGGGCGGGGCGGGGCGGCAGGACTGTGGGCATGCGCAGTGAGCAGTACAGTCAGCATCGTGTCCAGGTCCGCCACGCACAAGGGACCTGGTAGAGCCAATCTAATCCAGGCCAATCCGGCGATGTCCGAAGAGGGAAGGAGCGGTGACCTGTCTGGGGTGGGCAAGGAGCTCGTGAAGAAAGCTCTGCACGAAATTCTCGACGAAATTCCCGCCTTCAGGGCGCTCAGTAAAGGGAAAAGCAAAGCCGGACCCGGCTCGCTTACAGCGGCCGAAGGAGGTATGGTGGGGTAGTTATAACGCGGCTAGGCGGCCGGATGCGGCGGTACGGCGAGACCCCAGGCAGAGCACACACCGGCCACAACAGAAGACGGTCAATTTTCACTGGAGACCCCTCTAGTCACACGGCTCCAAACTCCACAAACAAAGGTCGCCATTTCGGTGGGTCCTGTCTCTCCCCCGATCCCAGCTAAGCTTGCCGAAAAGATCTGGAGAAAAGAGACATCGAGCTCCAAGAGCTACTCCCGACACGTCTAGGGGCACCGGGTCCCACAGTGCTTATGAAGTTCCACCACGCAAGTGGGACTAGGTTAACGCGGACGTCGAGCGCGCGCATCGGTCAGTCGGGGGTGTGTCGGAATGCCCCAAGACGAGGTCTGCCCTCTCAGGAGGTCGCGAATGCACAAGGCGCCAGCTGGCCGCGCCGGCGCGGCGGTTGCTAGAGAGAGAGAGAGCTAGAGAGGCGCAGCCTAACCCAGGGGCCCACGCCATGGCGGCATAAAAGCGCGCGAAGTTCGAAGCCAGTCAGCAAGCGTAGCTATTGCATCGCCCGGTCGCGTTTTCTCGCAGGAGCAGTTGGACAAGAGTATCGTTTCCCAGCCTTCCCTCCTCCTCCGCGTATATACTCCTCTTCAGCATCGCCCGGCGTCCGTCCATGGCTACCTCATCAGCTGCGTCTACACTTCCTCCGGCGGCAACAGTCCCCGCTGCGTCCGCGGCAGCAGACGGCCTTTCCCCTGGTCCGTCCGTGACTACGGGGCCGCGGACCGACATCGCATCGCGGGTCCTCCAGGTCCTGATGCAATCAGTGAAGCGGATGGGGGAGCAGTCTCCGGCAGCTACGACTTCAGCAGCAGCCTCAGGAGCGGCAGCGTCCGTCGTCGGGCCAGGTGAGCTAGCATGACCGTGGGTAGTAGTTTTAGCCCGCTGGCAGCGGCTAGCAGCAACGTTTCTGCCTTCAGGGGAGGGGGGGATAGTTAGGCTGCGGGGCTATGGGGTCACCATGCTACGATACAGCAGTCTAGGAAACTATGGCATTATCGCATGGGGGGGTTTGTAGGGTGTGTTGCTAGGTTAATTATGCATTCCACTAGCAGGGGCGGTCGCTAGCGGGCCTAACGTCTATAGCCAGCAGGCGTAGACAGGCTGCGATAGCTCCACAGTCAAGGCGTGTTTGTTGTTAGTCCTGTACCATCTGTTAGTAACAACGGCCCCGCGACCATTGTTGGGCGTCATGCCGGGGGTTGTCCCAGGGCTACCGATGGCAGCTACATCTGGTGGGGGTCTTTGGCCGGCGGAAGCGTCGTCAGCAGCCCCATCGCTCAGTCATCTTCTACCACCCATCGAACTCGGGGGCCGTCCGGTGGAGGCGTCATCGTCATCTTTTGAGGATGGCCTGGCTCCTCTTCTACTGCAGGCTCTCCTGGGCGCACGTCGGTCGGCGTCGACGCTGGCAACCAAGCGCGTCCTCGTAGCGAGGGGAATCCCTGTTGAAACTGGCTGGGGCGCTTGCGCAGATTATACTTCCTCAGAATAATATATTC